TTGATTTCCCAGACAACTCGTGCAAAGAGGAGTGTTCACCCCTGCGTCGCGCCCGCACCGCGCGCTGACTGGGCTTGCTGTTTCTAAATTTGCAACCAATGTTTGTCTGTGCTTGTTTCGTGTTTGTTTTTTGTATGGGCTGGGTCCTCCAAACTGTTCGCCCAGTGCCCCGCCCGTGTCCGCCGCGTGCCCGTTCGCTGCGCTGGCTGGGCTCTCCAAGGTTTCGTTCCATGCCCGCCCGTGCCCGCCTCGCGCGCTGGGTTCGCGCGCCAGGACGCACAGAACCATTGCGCCACAGGATCCCCTTCCCTGAAAAGAGTCCGTATCGACCTCGCTGCCGACGTCGTTCGTCGCAGATATCATGCGTTGGGTGGCGCGGGCCCCAAACTGCGGCGTCTTGCCACGTGACGGTGCAGTTTCGATTGTTGGCGCTTGCTTTTCGCCAGCCAGTGTTTTCGCCAACCAATGAACTGTCAACGCCATTGCTTGCGGAACCACCCCACACTCTCACCCGCAACTTGTCTTGCAACATCCATGCGGCCGCGATTGCGATGACAGCTTGGCCCTGGCTGGCGCATTTCTGCGGCCGCACTGGCGCCTGCAAGCTCGCGCGAAGAGCGGCCAACTGGCGTGGCACAACCGATGCGGCCGCGATGGCGCATGCCGATGGCAATTTCCCAGCGCGTCTCAGCAGCCGCGCTGGCGAACGGGCGCTTCCATACGGGTCGGTGGTTCGGTCGGGCGCGGCCTCAGGATGACGCCGACAACGGCGGCAACAATGACTGTAGCGATGGTGGTGGCGATAGTGACGATTACGACGGCAAGGCCCATGACGGCGCCGACGCTGGCAACGCCGATGACGATGATGATGTCCATGCGTCGACGATGAAGGTTCTTGGGTGATGATGGCGGCAATGGCGGCGATTGTCGACGACGATCGCGTGACTCGGCGGCACTGGTAAGGGTGATCGTGAGAATTGTGCGCGCAAGGAAATCCAAAAACCTGGCAACATGTTGTTGGAAAAAGCAAGTTTCATTCGTGATTGAAAGCTCTAGTTTGAAATTCTTCGCAATGCATTGGCTTTGGACGGATTTCGACACGCTCGCGTGGCGTCATGCGCGCGGTCCGCAATTATTTGATACGGATCCGTGCGCTGGGCGCATGCTGGATCAACGCGGATGCACCGCGTGGCGGAATTAGAATTGAGGTTCTGGGTCCTGGGCGGGATCGCGAAAATCTGTCCTATGATTGCAGCACATGCGCACGGGCAGAAACGTTGCAATACTTGCTAGTAAAACGACTGTTTTGGATCGTGTGTCTTGACGTGATTGACAAAGTGGTGTGCTTGGTATGGTTTTGATATGTGCGCCTGCGCGTGACCTTTTGTGCGATGTGTTGCAAGGGACCGTTGCGCAAATATCTTTTGCGATAAGCGAATGTGCGCTGTGCGTGCATCGTGTTATTTGGCAAGGATGGGTGGGGGGCAGGGCGATGCCCAGCTTGCCTGGGATGGCTGAAACTCGCGTGGAAAATTCTGACCAGCAATTTCTGTGGGAGCACGGGTCTGGGGGAGCTGGGGGCGCCCTCGTCGATGATATTCCTCCTTTATGTAATTTCAAGCAGTTGCACCTGAGACTTCGTACTGTTGTGATGATGTAGGGTAGCAGCGACGGCCTTGGAATCAAACCTGAAGGTGGCGCGAAAACCCTCGCTGGACAGGGCCAGAAATCCCACTCGACCCGGCGCTGGGATGGCCGTCTCAAGCTAACGCCGCAACTACGACAGCTATGCCGAACAAGCATGAGCGCGAAACCCATCGCACCCCGATGTCAGGACACCAGCATAACATGCATCCTGAATCTTTGGCTGAGCCGGCCAAGCGCTTCCATGAGGACGGCGCGCAGGCACAAGGGCAATCGGGCGCGAAACAACGCAATCGCTTGACAGATGGCAGCTTGGCGCGCGACGATAAACGGCGCCGCGTCGACAAACTAAGAAAAATATCCCACAGACCCGCGTCTCGCAACAACGATCGAAACAAACCGAGCCCACCACGCAGCGCGCAGCAGGGAAACTGCGCCACTGCGTGTCCGAGGGGGCGCCACCACGACAGCACTTGAACGTCATGCGACATGATTTGAATCGGAACGCGGGGGCCCTCGAAAATCAAAGGGCGGGGATGGCCGCCAGCAACAGGCCGTCGGCGCGAAACCGTCGCAAATATTCGGAACGAGCGTGCGCGGAGCCGCGAACCTTCCCCTTCCAACCCTGACCACGCGGGAGACGACGACAGCGAGAATGCAGAGCAGGGGTGGAGGAGGGGCACGAGGAAAGGACATCGAAATAGGCGGTGAGGATGATAGAGGCGACGCGGAGAGGGGGGGAGCGGGGCGCAAGATATATGGAGGAGGAGCGGGAGGACGGGGATGAGGAGGAGGAGGAGGAGGAAAGGGAGGAACGGGCACGCTAGACACGCCCGCGCGGGACCGCAGGGCGCGCTGGTCCTCGGCAGTGACGGCGCGCGAGGATGGGGGAGCCAGGGGGTGGCGCTCGGCCGCCCAAAATTTCCCGTGCAACCCTTGCGCGTCGATTTTTTTTCTCCGCCAAAGTGGCTTGCGCCTCCCCCAGGGGGCTTCCCAAGTGGCAGTTTTTTCTCCACTAGCGGAACACTACTAGGTAAGCTTCCTTCGTCCGCTAGAAGAACACTACTAGGTATGCTTTTTCGTCCCCCAGAGGAACACTTCTGGGCATGTCAAAAAGGGGCCAGACTGGTTCCGCATCTGCGGCCTTGTCGCGGAGACCGGGGCAGCATCGTTCAAGGGGAACACTACTAGGTAAGGCTACCGCGGCGGTGCCTGCAACAAGCTTGCGCGGATATTTTTGGAGTCCTCTGGAACCCGTGCCCGCCCCCGAATTATTGCCCCCTCCCCTGGCGGCGCCCTGTCCTGCGGGGGCCCGGAAGCCCCAGCGCCGCTGACCGGGCCGCATCCTACGTCAGGAGGAGGAGGAGGAGGAGGAGGAGGAGGAGGAGGCGGAGGATGAGCAGGAGGATGAGAAGGAGTAGGAGGAGGAGAAGGAGGAGGAGGAGGAAGTAGGAGAAGGAGGAGGAGGAGGAAGTAGGAGGAGGAGGAGGAGGAGGGGCGCGTTCTGGGCGGCGACAACGGGCCGGGGCGCCCCCATACCCCGCGCCGTTTGACGGCGTACACGCCCCCAACTTCTGGCCGCCACACACGGAGGAGCGTGGCCGACGGGAGACGTTGCCCGAAGGCAGAGAGACAGGAGGAGGAGGAGGAGGAGGAGGAGGAGGAGGAGGAGGAGGAGGAGAAACAGGCAGGACGATCACCCCCCGCTTCGACACCAGCTGCCGCGCCAAGTTCCTACGCCCACGGCGCGTTTCGACGCTCTCCCTGATCGCGCCCGCGCAGGCCAGCGAGCACGCCTCCAGGCAGCACAGAGGCACATCTTCATCTGGCATTGCCTTGGCAGCGCGAACTTCGCAGGCATGGAATGCGCCGGGAAAGATGTCCGATAACTTGCTAACTTCTGTAACCGAGTTCCCGCGAAACGCGGTTCTAGCTCCGCGGCTGCAGGCCCTGGCGGACCTAGCGGCTGCGCTCCGCATCCAGGCGCTGCGAATCGGGGCGGCGTTGCACGGGCTGGAGCGCATGCTGAACCGAGCTTGCGAGGCCGATGGCAACTAAGTTCAGGCGATCGCCCGCGCCACTCGGACTCGCGAACGAACTGCCGCCTGACACTGGCACGTGCGCGCCGATAACATGTAATCGCACCTGCGCTGTGGGGGGCACTCGTTTGGCGCGGCGTGCGCGACGCAGCTGAGCAGGCAATGTCTGTCAATTTGTGAGAGCCGCGCCCAGCAGACCGCGTGGTGGCTCAGTTCAAAATGGCCCACTCGCTGCGTGCACAGCGACCCCCGGTGCGATGGCCGACGCGCTGGTCGCGCTCATCGAGAGCGGGGGCTCCAGGAAGGTAAATCTTGGATCTGATGGGTACCCCAGGGGGGTAAGGGCCACGGCTCCCCCAGTTACCGCTGGTCTGAAATTAGCGATGGGGCGGAATGGCGTGCAATCTGCAGTGCCCCTGGTGGGGCGGAAAGTCCAGGGGGGAGAGGGTGGTGGAGGCGATTTTTTTCGAGGGGGATAACAATGCGGTGCAATCTAATTGGTGCTATTAATTTCTGTTCGCAGTGAATTGTCCACTCCACTGCTCGCGCAAACATGCCACCCACCCACCCGCAACTTGGTTCGCAAAACCCATGCGGAAGCGATTGCGATGAATGCTTGGCGTTGGCTGGTGCATCTCTGCGGCCGCGCTAACCTGCATATGCGCGCGCGCAGCGGCCAGCTCGTTTGGCGCGACCGACGCGGCCGCGGTGGCGCTGACAGCTGGGCACATCCCAGCGGGCACTTCAGTACGAATTGGCGACTTGGGCGGGCGCAGTATCATGGCAATGTCAACCACGGTAGAGACGACGATGATAGTAGCGATGCTGGTGACGATGTTGGTTGACAACGACGACGGCGCAGCCAATGATGGCGCCGATGCTGATCACGCCGACGACGATGGCGGCGTCCTCGCGTCGGTGACGCAAGATTTGGAAGGAATTCGACATGCGCGCGCGGCCGACGTGCGAGACTGGCCCGCATGATGTTTTTTTTTTGGACCGCATGATTCAATAACCACCGTCGTAACGCAAAAGCCGGTTGCACTTGAAAGCCGCGTTCTTCCTCACCATGCGTGTGGAGACGGACACAAGAAACGACAATGCAGATACCACATGATACGAGTACGCCTGAAAACGCATCACCCCCTTGCGGGAGTCGGCAGCAGTGCAGGGATGAAGGCAAAAACCTTCAATGGCACCAGGCTCGGGCGGGAGAGGGGAGGAGGAAGAGAAGGAGAAGGGGGACTAGCTACTGGGTGCCCGCGGGGCGCGCCAAATCGCGCGCAAACGCCGCGCGGAAGCAGCGTGCCCCTCGACCGCGCCGCGGCACTGCTGCATCTCCTCTTGGATGGCCACTTCTGCGCCTCCAGACGGGGGCTCCGGCAAGTAGCGCCTACGGTTCGTGACCATGTGCAGTGCGTGCGCCAGGACGGCCCAGCAAGTGCGCTCAGCGTCGTCGGTGCAGCGCGCAACGCCGAGGAAGCGCCGGAGGTGGCGGGCGCAGTCGCCATGGAGCCGCAGAAAACGGCCACCCGCAGCCCGGCCCACCGCGCACCCCACGTAGTGCTCAATGCTGTCTGAGCTGGCGCCGCAGCGCAATACGCATGCACGCTCGCCTTGATGCCGGCGCGCCGTGCACCATCTGTTCCAGGCCAAACCCCATGCCGCCGCAGCCACTCGAGGCGCAACCAAGTCGCCTAGCCGTTGCAGGCTGTCCCGCCGGCGCCGGACCAGCGTGTGCCGAGACTCCTGCAGGCGCCATCGCTTGAGCTCGCAGGCCAGCCGCGCGCCCCAGCAGCCAAGAAAGCGGGGGGGATTGAGCTTCGATGCTTCTCGCTGAAAATTGGTCTTCAACATCTTGCGGTCGCGCTCAACGTCTGCGCCTTTGCAAAATCGCGTCCGGAGATTTGCCATGGCGATGCCCCTCGTCGCTAACAGGTCCGCGTTCCGCACCAGGCCCGACACGAATGACTTCTGGTACCAGCGACGCCAGAAGATGAAAAACGGTGGAGTCGAGCAGGCGAGTAAGTTCCCTGTCCAAGTCAGCCGGCACGGCGTCCCAAGCCTCAAAGTGCAAGGTGCGAAGCATCGCCGCCTGCCCCCGCGCGCGCAGGCAATGAAAGGATCGACCGATCCCGCATCGCTCCCCCATGCCCCAAAAACCTGCAGCCGTGGCCCATGACGCAGGCCCCGTCGCGATCCCCAGCAACACTTCCTCTTCCTGCGCGGCCACCTCCTCCAGGATCGGCTCCAACTGCGCAAGGAAGAGGAGGGCGGAAAAGCAGCAGACGTTGTAGACCATGGCCGAGAATTGCAGGCCGAGGGCGTTGCCTGACCAAGCTTGCGCCCTCTGTCGCCGCTTCGCCACCGCCTTGGCCCGCGCCGAGTCGCCCCGGGCCAGGCCCACATAATAGCCCAAGAGTTCTGCGGCCCCTCGAAATTGCACTTCCCCCCGCCCCAGATCTTGCAGAAAGGGTCGGAGCTCCTCGCATGGGTGCTCTTCTCGGCGCCAGAGCGGGATCACCGCCGTCTTGGCGCAGTTGAGGGCGAGGCTGGAGGTGTCGGCGCACTCCTGGAACATCTGGGCCATGAAAGGCAAGGTCTCAAATATGTCCACCATCGCCGCCGCCGCGTCATCCGCGAACGCGCGAGGAGTCCCCTGCGGCCCCAACGTGCGCGAGAGCTTGCGTGAGAGCACGTCCACAACCACCGCAAAGATCAAAGGGGGGAGCGGGCACCCCTGACGAATGCCTCTCGCCATGAGGAGGAAGCGGTGGCTGTCGTGGCCTGCCAGCGCGATGGTGACAGGCGCGCGGTCGCATAGGGCCCGTGCAAACTGAAGCTGCCGATCGGGCATGCCCAAACAGCGCAGAGATGCCAGTAGAAACTCGCGCTCGACGGACGGGAAGGCCGCCGCGAAGTCAAACGGCGCCAGGGCGCCCCGTGGACAGCGCAGGCTGATCTTCATGGCCTCGTGGTCGATAACGAGGACGTTGTTCATCATAGAGCGCCCGCGAATGAGGCTTTTCTGCATTTTGGAGATCCACGCGCTGACGTTTTCTCCCAGCGGATCCGCGCAGCTCCACACATGAGGCGGTTGTCGGTGTTCACTATCGATAGGGGGCGCGTGCTGGGCGCATCGCAAACCTGCTCGCCCTCGTCGGTGGTCCCCGCGGGGGTCTTGGGCAGGCAGACCAGAACGCCCGCGTTGAACTCCTGCTCCCCGTCGTGCGCCTCCTGCAACAGCTGCAAAGCCTCCGGGGCGTGCAACTCCTGCATGGCGTCCCAGAACACATCGACGCCAAACTCACCTAGCTCACGCCACGCCTTGCAAGGCAATCCATCCGGGCCGGGCGCGGCGTTCTTGCAAAACCGAATGGCGCGCTCGAGGTCCTTGCGGCGCATTTCCCATGCCCTGGACTCCGGCGGGGGGAGACCCGCTTGCCAAGACGCGCCCCCGTCAACGTTGCGCTTGCGCCCCTGCTCGGGGCCAATGTCCTGCGGATGCACCTCCTCGAGCCACGCTGCCAGCCGCGCGCCGTCTGTGCCCCGGGATGCGAAGACCGCGGCCCAATGGTCCTGCAAGAGCTTCGTCATGCGCGCGGCCAGACCTTGCCGCGCTGGCCCCGCATGGCCCGGGTCGCCCCTGTCTCGCCCCCGCGCAGGCGCTTCAGCTGACGAATGATGTTCTCCGTGCCGCGCCTCGCGCCCAAATCATCCCCTTCCTCCTGCGCCCGACGCGTTTCGTCGAGGTCCTCCACGATGACGTCGCGGGCGAGTCCTAGTAGCCACTCCGTGAACTCCACGTCCCTGTGCCCGCGTCTGCGGGCGGCCGCTCGGTCGGCAAGCTCCGGGAACGTCTGCAGGGCCTCCGTCGCTCTGCGGGCGCGCCCCCCCTCGACGGCTCGAACATACCGCATCGCACAAGCCATCTTGTCCTGCGCAGTGACGAGGGCGGGCCGTCGCGGGCGCTCGCGACGCATTCGAAGCGCGACCTTTTTGATGGACTCCTTGACGCGCAGCAGTCGCTGAAGGCCAGCGGCGCCCCCGCCGACTTCTCGAAGGCGCGTGAGATAGTGCAGCTTGACCCGCTTCCGCCATTGAGGGCCCAACGTCACGCGCGTCGAGACGACGCGTTTCGCCACCTGCATCTGCGGGGTGCTCGCCGCGCCGGTGTCCTGCCACTGGCCGGCGTCGTGATGTGAAGTCGTGCCACTCGAGCGCCGCGCTGCCGATGTCCCAGTCTAGCCACTCCCAGCGCTCCATGCGAATGTAAGTGCGGTCCAGGCGCGATCGGCACTCCGCAAAACGATACCTGTACTCCGGCTGCTCCAATTCAACTAGGTGGAGGCGCCGTAACATACCGGCGGTTTCCTGAGCCTCGGCTGCATCGCCTCCTCCAATGAAGGCCAGGGGTTCGCCACCTAACCTGTCAGCCTCGGCGACTACGTAGTTGAAGTCACCAACGAGGAGTTGCAGCGAATGGTCCCAGCAAGTCATCGCCTCGATCAACTGGCGAATCGTCGCGGCTCGCCCCCGCCGCCCACCGCTGTTGCCCGCGCGCAGATACACCACCCCTAACTGTAGAAGGCTCGCAGCGCCCCAGCAGCGCAGGACAGCAGCGCGACCTGGAACCGCCTCCAGCCAAGCATGCCCGGCCCTGGTCGCCCTGCGCCTTGTGGAGGAAGCGCCTCTTGACCCAAAGCCCCACGCCTGCCGCTCCTCCTTCGCCGTGTGACCAAAACGCCTAGCAATCCACCAGCGCGCGGAGACTGGCGCACTTGCCAGAGTTGCCGTGTGTCTCCTGCAGGGCCAACAAGTCATGGGATCCTGCGAGGCGCCCGGCACGGCGCATCTTGACCTGCAGCCGCAAAACGTCCGAAACCACCAGCCCTTGGGCATTCCAAGATGTCAGCGACCAGTCACCGCGGTATGGGAACATGCTGTTCGCCACCTCGGCTGTCGCACTGTGCAAGACACCGCCCCCGGATGCCGAATTAGGATGAGAACTCAAGGAAGCCTCCAGGGAGAGGCAAATGCGGCGCCGGCGACGCGGGCGCCCCCCCCCCCCCCCCCCCGTTTGGATCAGCAGCCCCATCCTGGACACGTCCGCTCCGACGCCGGCGAGCGCGCGGCGCACGGCAGGCCGCAGAAGGAGAAGAAGAGGTGGAAGGTGTGGTAACGTAGTGAGAGCCCCAGGCAGGAGTAGCCTGCACGATGTACCCCCGCGGTTCGTCGGAGCTGGTTGACAAAGACTCCCCGTGCTCAGCCACCAGCCCGCGCTGCAAAAACAAACGCCGCAAGAGAAGACAATGATCCCACTGGATCCCCGGCGCGCCCCCAGCATCGAATTCAACGTGGCCACGCGGCCACCGGGGCCGTCAATGCACGACGTCGCACTCCGCAGCCCCACGCGCCATCTCCAGCGAGGAGACGCGGGGAATCACCTCCAGGAGCTGGAACGCGGTCTTGCCCTCCAGGAGCCAGGAACGCGGTCTTGACCTCCAGGAGCACGATCCTGCCCTGGCCGGCCAGGTCAACGGCCTTGCCCTCCAGGAGCTGGAACGCGGTCTTGACCTCGTCGCGAAGCCGGATCTGGACCAGAATGTCTCCGCGCCAGCCTGCCCGTGCATCGACGAGAGGCTTCCACTGGTAGACCGACGTCACCTCCTCCACCGCCTGCGGCTCAAGATGGAGTTGCGCAGCCTGCCGCGCGAATGCCATGAAAGTGGGGACCTCCGTCAGCCGCCCTCCGATGAGTTCACCGCTGAACCAGAGAGCCACTTGGAGCTCACGCCCATCAGGCGCACGATTGGCATTTCGCTTGAGGGCCCTCGTCTCGGCAAGGGCTGGCGCAGTCGCCAGCGACCCTCCTCCAGAGGAAGGGCGGTGACGGACGCACTCAATGTAGGCGTCGACATCCCCCTGGAAAGCCCGCCCCACCGCCGCGCGCCATTGAACCTCGGAGGCGGTCTCGAAGGCCAACTTGGGCGAGACCAGCGCCGCGTCCTCGGGCGACTCCTGGACCTTGAGCACCGCCGCCGGCTTCGTGATATCCACCGAGACCGCTTCCTGCCGGCTATGCGCGGTGTGCAAGCCGACGAGGACGTCCAGCGTTAGGGGGATTTCCTTGAGGCGCAGAAGAGATGCCCTCGCCGCCCAATTACCTCCCTGCGTGAGCCTGCCCATGTAGATGAGGCGTTTCTCCTGTGCCGTGGAGCCCGCCGCCTTTGCGGGCCCCTGCCAATTGATCCCGAAGTCGCGGGGGACTTGGCCGAGGAGCCCGAGCAGCGCCAGCTCGTCCTTTTCCGCGACGTCGAGGGCGACCATCGGTGAGGCGGGGATGCTGCCGATGATGCCGCGGGAGCGCATCATGCTCCACGCGCTGGCTCTGGTGGTCGAGGACAGGTGGGCCATGCATAGGCTTTTGACTTGGTGCATCGGCGCGCGCAGGCCGGAGACGACGATCTTCATGGGCTCGTGGCTGAACGAGGTGTTCTTGATGAAGGGGGCCCATCTGCCACGAAGAAGCTCGCGGGTCCCAGTGCCCCGAAACTGGTCGACCGAACGGCAGCCCGGTCGTGGGTAAAATGGAATGATGACGAACACGTCGACCGAGACGCCCTGTGAGACGGCATTGGCCATGCCGCCGCACGACCGACCAAGGTCCTCCTTGCCCGGCGGTGCCCGCGTCATAAGACCACGGCCGTTCATCGACGTCATGGCCTGGATGCACGCGTCGCCCCCCTGCAGAAGCTTGCCGCGCAAGTCCCTCGCCTCCTCCTGCGGGGGGGAAGCGTGGGATGGCGACGTCGGACACCGCGCGCGGAGGACCTGCGAGAGGTTCAGGAGGATGGCGCAGGGGAAGGGCGCCGCGTGCATCAAGTGCTCCACCACCGCGGGCTCTGCCTCCGCCCAGCGCGGGAGCCTGTCCTTGGCGACCTTTTGCAGCTTCCGCAGCCAGAGGACCTCCTTGAGTTTGTTAAGACGATGCGGGTGTGCCTCAGTCGCACGCAACGCCCATGCGCTTTTGGTCGCACGCTCGGACTCTGTCAAGAGCCCGTCAGCGACCGAGTCGCTCAGGTCGCCCAGGAGTCCTGCACGCACGGCGCATCACGAAGGCCTTGTCGGGGGCAGGCCCTTCCATCTTGCTGAGGCCGAGGCGGCCCCGGCCGTTCGACTCGTCCAGGTCGTAACCGAAGTGCCGCAGGTTGCGGCGCATGGTCGCTCAGGGCGGGCTGCCCGTGAAGGTGTCGCCCTCCCCGATAGCGTCGGCGGCCGTGCAATCAAAATTCAACAAAGCTTCCGAGTCGATGAAGGCCCGGATCGCGGTGTCGAAACGAGAGCCCACCGCGGCGCCCCGCCCGTTGC